AGTCCCCATTCCCTTTTCGATGGTGCGGACAGTCTTGACTGCGACAACCCCTCCCCCCCCGAGTTGGGCGCACTCATGCGAGACGAGCTAGGTCTCACAACTACCGGCCAGCAGGCAAAAGCTTCCCGGCACACATACACACCTACACAGAGGCACAGTGATAATCACATGCTGACGGATGTCCACTATTCTCACATCAGCATGGGTCGCATACAATCGCAAAGGTCAATTCCATAGTACAGAGCTATTTTTCTCTCGCTCTTTCTTATGCCGAATGTCTATAAAATCAAAAAGAAAACTCAAAGAATAAACCATTAAATAGACTTCTCCTTTAAACTTAACCCAACTTGCTTCAAATGTGTTCTCGTCGAAGAGAAGAATGATCAAATGAAAAAAAACAACCCGACATCGAGAGGTTGAAGGCATACACAAAATGAGATAAAAAGGTTTACAAGAAAAAAAAATCTAGAAATGAACTGACCCCATTATCACAACTTGTTTGTGTTGTGACGGCGATCCGGTTGGATGCATTTTGTCCAAAGTCCTCGGCTGCAGTAGTTACGATTATTTGCCTCATTGGACCGTGGACTTGATAGATTGCCCGATGATGCCGGCGAAACGTCTTGGAATAGGTTGTCGACAGATGTACCAAGACAGCAGAAAGAGTATGAGGTGTGATGTAATGGTAGTCTCGAAGGCATACTTACAAACGAACGAGAAGGATTAATAATTTCACAACCGTTTGGCGAAAAGTTGGTTAAGGGATTGACTTCAATTGTCTCTTTGACTAATTGTAATTGGAAGTGATGTTACAAACGTCAAGAACCGTTGACAATGCCAGCTTAACGACTGAAAATGTACCAAGTCCACGGTCTAACGCTGGGGATTAGGATAACTGCTAATTCAGAGGACTTATTACAAGGCATGTCCGACTAGGTCGCCTTGACAACACGACCAAGTTGCAAACACTGTTGCCAAAACTGAAACCATAGCATCTGGGTTTTTATGTTGACGAAACAAAAGCTAGCTAATCTGAATCGCTAATTGCCCATTTAGATGACGTATTCCCGACGTGGTCAGGTAGAGGCATGTAGGGAATTGAGCCAAGGATGTGGATGAGTTAAAGGGAGCCGGGTTCGAGCCCCGTTAGGGGCGCGAGGTTAAAACTGCAGTCCACTACAGTCGGGATGAGAATAGCTTCTTGGGGCTGAACGATGTGGAATTTAATGGAAATCGACTGCCACTCCTTCATCATCTTAAACGAAATGAGGTGAAAATAGCTGTCATGTTAACTCTTGATGGTTCAAGCATTATTTTCACGTTTTATGGATAATATTTCGACGAAGTTGGAGTGGCATAAAGTCAGATGGAGTTGTGTAGAAAGAGTTATAAAGAAGAGGATGTGTCGGAGAAAAGGAAATAGAAAGATGGGCTAAAATGCGAGAATCTGCCTTCACGACACTTTACGTCAAGATTTGTTTGCGTCTGAGCAATTTATGTAAATTCGTCTCCAAAATGAAATCCTATACCAGCCTGATTGTCATTTCAACCGAACGTTGTTCCACTTTGGCCTCTTCCCAGTCGAATATCGCCTATTTTGTCCCGTTTCTGCCCCGCCTTGACGATAGACCTCAGTTGTCATGGCATCAGTAAATCATATTTACAAAATGTTTCCCAAACTCCAAGGTTTCGTAGGATAAGGTGACTGGAAGTAAATCCTAAATCGGCCTCATAATAAACTGCTTTTGGTCGGCTAGAATGTGAACATATGCAAAGTTAAAGTTGGGTTTCGAAGAATCGCTTGTTTCATAATTGTTCAGCTTACTTCCATTTTGAGAGAAAGTGTTTGGTGAAACGATTCGAAGGTCGGTTCCATCAGAACACGAC